TATATCTGTGGTGTTCTGTGGTCACTGTGTGTGCGACTGGGGGGCTGTGGTCGCTGTGTGTGCGACTGGGGGGCTGTGGTCGCTGTGTGTGTGACTGGGGGGCTGCGGTCGCTGGGTGTGCGACTGGGGGGCTGTGGTCACTGTGTGTGCGACTGGGGGGCTGTGGTCGCTGTGTGTGGGGAGGCGGCTGTGGTTGCTGTGTGTGTGACTGGGGGGCTGCGGTCGCTGGGTGTGCGACTCGGGGGCTGCGGTCGCTGGGTGTGCGACTGGGGGGCTGCGGTCGCTGTGTGTGCGACTGGGGGACTGTGGTCGCTGTGTGTGCGACTGGGGGGCTGTGGTCGATGTGTGTGCGACTGGGGGGCTGTGGTCGCTGTGTGTGCGACTGGGGGGCTGTGGTCGCTGTGTGCGCGACTGGGGGGCTGTGGTCGCTGTGTGTGCGACTGGGGGGCTGTGGTCGCTGTGTGTGCGACTGGGGGGCTGTGGTCGCTGTGTGTGCGACTGGGGGGCTGTGGTCGCTGTGTGTGCGACTGGGGGGCTGTGGTCGCTGTGAGTGCGAGTGGGGGGCTGTGGTCGCTGTGTGGCACTGGCGCCCTGTCCCAGAGGGATCGACTTCAAGATCCTCATTCCTTGTCTTCAAATCCCTCCACTCCTCTGCACCCTCCTACCTCTCTGACCTCCTCTCTCCTCAAAACAGTGCCCGTTGGCTTCGTTCCTCTGAGTCTGGCCTCCTCCTTGTCCCCCGAGTCCTCCACTCCACCCTCGGCAGCCGTGCCTTCAGCCACTATGCCCCGAGGCTCTGGAACTCCCTTCCTCACTCTCTTCGCCTCAACCCCTCTCTTCCTATTTTCAGGTATCTGCTGAAGACCTTTCTTTTCGACTGCACCTTTGGTCATCTTCCTCCCCCTCCCCCTGGCTCGGCCCCGGGATCCGTTACTGTGAAGCACTCTGAGACGCCATCCAGCGTGGAGGGCGCTATATAAATCCAAGTTGTTGTTGTGTGTGACTGGGGGGTTGTAGTCACTGTGTGTGCACTGGGGGCTGTGGTCACTGTGTGTGCGACTGGGGGGCTGTGGTCGCTGTGTGTGCACTGGGGGCTGTGGTCACTGTGTGTGCGACTGGGGGGCTATAGTCACTGTGTGTGCACTGGGGGCTGTGGTCACTGTGTGTGCGACTGGGGTGCTGTGGTCACTGTGTGTGCGACTGGGGGGCTATAGTCACTGTGTGTGCACTGGGGGCTGTGGTCACTGTGTGTGCGACTGGGGGGCTGTGGTCACTGTGTGTGCGACTGGGGGGGCTGTGATCACTGTGTGTGCGACTGGGGGGCTGTGGTATGGTTTATGGAAACCATAGAAACCTTAGAAATGTACTAGAAGGATGGAGGTCATTTAGCCTAGCCTCTCCTGCCTTAGCCAGCTCTCCATCTCCCTCTTGGCAGCATATGGAATCTTGCTTGTTGACAAAAGCACAGTCAACATTACACTTAATCATACTAAATAATCCTTGCATTTGATACAGCACCTATTCACGTTGAAATATCTTGTAGTGCTTCACAGGCAATTGCTTTAAAATGACTGGTGACTACAACAGTCGACTGTGTATTCTGTAGGTGAATACGGCAGCTAATTTTCACACAGCAAAAAACAGCCATGAAGTGAATGACCAATTTTAGCTGGAGGACTGTCACCCAGGACACCAGGGGAGAAAATCTCTTTTCTTTTCCCAGTGTCAAGGGACTGACAGCAATTGCTTGCGATGCACTTTTGAGACGTCACACTCTTGGCATGGCTTTGAGACTCAACCCATGATTTACTGATCTGGTGCGGTGAACATCAGACCGGCAGTGGAGCTGAAAATTTGAGCCTGTCACTGTTTATTCGTTTAATGTTGTTTTATTATTTCTTCGGCACTGTTTTTGCCTCAGTCCCCATCAGATGGATTGATGCTTTGAGGACCCAAAAGGGTAATTATGTCAGTGTTGTAGATTAGCCATTTCCCAGCCATCAGTGGCCTGGGTTTCTGTGCACCAGCACCTGTGTGTATAGGCACCTAGCAACAAAAACCACTGCATAGCAACACCACCAAGGGTACTCATCACGTGGAGCCTTGTTTTTGTGATCTTCGAGCAGTTTTGTCAGCCTGCCTCAGTTGGTAATACTCTTGCCTCTGAGTCAGACAGCTGTAGGTTTAAGCCCTCACATCAGGACTTTGAAATCACTTAATCTAGACTGACACTCCATTCCAGTGTAGTGCTGGGGTGGGAGCGCTGTGTTGTCAGCCGTGCCATCCATCAGATGAGACGCTATACTGAGGTCATGTCTTCCTGCTCAGGTGCAGGTTAAAGTTATCATGGCAACTATTTGATAAAAGAGGTGGTTCAGTCCCAATTATGGTAAAACTCGCATAAATCTGATCTGTATAAACAGTATAATCAACAACAGCAACTGGCATCTTTATCTCCACGCTGGGCGACGTCCCAAAGCGCTTAACAGTGATGTAGTCCGATGCCGAGCCAGGGGGAGGCTGAAGTGGATTATAGGCATGGTTGACGAGGGAGGTCTTTTGGCGCAATCTGAAAATGGGGAAAGAGGGAGCAGGCTGAAGCGATTGAGAGAGGGAGTTCCATAGCTTTGAGGTGTAGTGGCTGAAGGCACGGCCGCCAACGGTGGAGTGGAGGATTCAAGTGACAAGGAGGGGGCCGGAGCCAGTAGAGCGGAGGCAGCGGTTACTGTTGTGAGGAGAGAGGAGGTTGGAGAGATAGGATGGTGCCAAGGAATGGAGGGATTTAAACACTAGAATGAGGATCTTGAAGTCGATCCGCTCTGTGACAGGGAGCCAGTGGAGTTTGGCAAGGACTGAAGTAGTCGGGGTGCGGAGCTTAATGCAGGTGAGAATGCAGGCAGCGAAGTTTTAGATGAGTTAAATTTTGTGAACAGTGGAGAAGTGGAGACTGGCAAGGAGCGTGTTTGAGTAGTTGAGAGAGATAGCACCTCTCTGAACCGCAGGACAGAAGATGTCGATGGGAGCCAAAGAGTATGGCTTCCGTCTTGTTGACGTCTTGTTAATCGCCTAAGTTGTACAAAATATAAAGTCAATTCACATTACAGTGTATTCTGTGAAGGGCTTTGAGGGCTAGAAAACGTGATAAGACGCTATATCAAATATAAGCATTATTATTATTTTCTTCCCAAATCGCATGAAGAGTTTATAATTTATGCAAGTTTGACATAACACATACTTTGCATAAGTCATACTATAAATGTATGGTCCCAACTGAAACAACTCATGTGAGGTTTACTGTACCTGTACTGCCTCCCCTGACCCTCCCCCCCCAACCCTTGTAAAGTGTTCCTTTCTAGATGTCTATCTGCTTCCCTCTTGAAAGCTAATATGGATCCTGTCTCTATTACCGTACCCTCTGAGACATCTCTAGTCAAAGCTGAGGAGCCCTCACTGTTCCTCATTATTAATATGCAGGCAAGCAATAATTTATGAAAATGAAGCTTGGGCGCAGTTAATCCTCGCTGAGGGATTTGCTTTATATTTGCACTGCAATAATTAGATGCGGATATTAAGCCATAAAAATGGTAACTGTGTATTGGAATTGATGTAAAATTGTATTTCTGCATAATTGTCCTGTGCAGGCTGGTAATTGCCGAGGAGTCAAAGGGAGATTTGACTCACTTTAATACTGTAGTTGTGCTCTCAGTATATCTGCTGTCTAATTCCTCTCTGATTCTCATTCCCCATGTTCTCCAAAGCCACCACTGGACAATTGTTTAAAGCATGTGTCTTTAGCAACAAAGCACTTGCATTTCCACACCTCTAATAATCTCCACTTACAAAATACACAGTAACAATACACAGTCACTACACTTTACAGTAAATCCTATGAACTGCTTAAGGCATCCTCCCGATGTGAAAGATGCTACATCAAATGCCTGGATTATTGTTATTCCAAACTTGCTTGAGACGTTCCTTTTACATGGTAAAACTCCTGTGACATCTTTTGGCGATGTTATCCGCAGACATGGGATAAACTTCCACATGTATGCAGATGACGCACAAATCTATTTTACCTCCTCCAGCATCAACTCCAGGTCCGCCAATGTTCTATCAGCTTGTCTGGCAGACATCAGGGCCTGGATGAGTACAAGCTTTCTGCATCTGAATGTGGACAAGATGGAAGCCATACTCTTTGGCTCCCGTCAACGTCTTCACTCCTGCGGATCTAAACTTCTCAACCTACCTGGGCTCTCCCCCAGACTCACTGAACCAGTGTGTAATCAAGGCATCCAGTTCAACCCCCAACTGTCCTTCCTCTCCCACATCCTCCACCTCCGCCACATTGCCCGCCTCCAACCGTACTTTACGCCAAATGCAGCCAAAACCCTCAAGCATGCATTTCCAACTCCCGCTTGGATCACTCAAACTCACTCCTCGCCAAGCTCCACTGTACTCCAGCTCATTCAGAACACTACCGCTGGCATACTGACCCGGATCAAACTCCATACCACCATCTCACCAGTTCTGGCCAGGCTTCACTGGCTCCTTATCACCAAACGGATCGACTGCAAGATACTCACATTTGTGTTCAAATCCATTCACTCTCTGGCACCTCCCTACCTCTCCGACCTCCTCACTCCCCCATCCACCACCTAGCACCAGTCTTCTGCTTATCCTTCACACCCTCTGCCCCACAATCAGAGGTCATGCTTTTAGCCACTACTACCCGAAACTGTGGAACACTCTCTCTCAATCCCTCCACCTTACTCCCTCTCTCCTTTTTCAAGTCTCGCCTGAGAACCTTCCTTTTCAACCGTGCTTATGGTCACCTTCCCCACCCTGGCTCGGAGTCAGGCTCCGCCACTGTTAAGCGCTCTGAGACGCTACCCTGTGTGGAGTGCACAATATCAGTGCAAGTTGTTGTGTACGGACAGTTTCTATGGGCATCCCCCAGTCCCTCTACCCTAAATGACCTCCCCATTCTGCTTTTTTTTCAGAACATGGAGAAGATGGTGATGCCTTCGGTCACACTGATTGTCGGGTGTGGAGTCTCTTCGTTGACCCTCCTGCTGTTGATCATCATCTATGTCTCTGTTTGGAGGTAATGCCATTCTCAAAACACTTTTCCCTGACTTTAATGTGAAATGTTGTCAAAAGTTGTTATTTGAAGGCTTGTCTCGGGTGAAATATGTGAAAACGTCAATCACTGCTTGAGTTGCTTATGGCTTCATTTTCTTGCATTAGATTTTCAGTCAGAATTGGGAGACTCACTTTCCGGTTCTGTTTTCTTTTGTTCAACCAGGTATCTGACACCTCGCTCCTTCCCCTTCATATCCCCATCACTGTGCTTAGAGTCTCCAAACCAAATACTGTCAGTTCAACGTATGTTTGGCTTCCGTTTGTCTGACGTGAAATGTAGACTCTCTCTCCCCAGGGAGGTATCCAGTTTGCTTATTTAATCTTGGAAGGTCTTAGGTGCAGGTTGGCAAGAACCAAGACTAGGGGGAACTCAAGATTGTAGTTTGGGATATTGCTTCAGTCTAACCAGCTAACACCACATAGCTTGGCATTTAGCGCATTTTTTAATGTGGGAAGCCTACCACTGCTTCTCCAGCTCAGACCACCCTACTACCCATTAGAGCTTTGGCTTGCAGGGATAACTGGAGCTGAGTGGGAAAAATTCCAGCAACTGTAAAATGGATTTATTTATGGAATAGAATACTAAGCACCTTGGGGTGGGGTGGGGGTGGAAGTAAGTGGGATCTCCTTGGAGAACAGCTGACTCCAAGGCGATAGAATGTTGGAATTGAGTCTACGCTCTATGGCAGTCTTGGTAGTTCAGTTCCTGAGCCAGGTGGTCACAGTATTCCAGGGCACTACTGATGACATCAGGAAATGGAGGAGCAGATGAGTCATTGGGAGCATGGATTCTTACCACTCAGCTCCTGTTAATCCTGCAAGTCAAAACTCGAAGGGTTGGGTGGTTTTAGCTGTACAAGCCACAGGAAGCTTGCCAGACAGTGCTTTCAATGGCAAGTCATGTGGTGTTAGCGGATGAAACTTCAGCACACTCTGGAGTCACCAAATCATGGCTCTGACCAACCTGTACCTTACACTCAGTGGAATTAGGTAAACAGGGTGTGTCCCTCGAGAGAGAGAGAGTGTGCACTTCATTCCAGACTCAGAGAAATGTCTATGTGTAGGTGGCATACATATGTGGAACTCTCAGTCTAGTTTGGGTGAATGGTTTCCCAAGTATCAGCGCCCCCAAAAATGATCCAGTCAAACCTTACTGCAACAAGCACTTACTAAAAACAAGTTGTTGTGAAGACGATAGCAGAACTTCATTTTTTTGTTTCCTTTTCTCCCCCTCATTTGTTGGGGCTTGCACTGAGTTTAGTCCGTCCAGGTAGAATCTGTGCTGGTGTTGCTTTTTTTCAATCAATGCAATGCCATTATATGTAATTATATTAATAACCTGAGCTCTCTGATCCCAGACAGGATAATGGTGAAGGGGAGAAGGGGAGGCACCAGCTTGGGTCTTAATAAAGCACAGCTCTGCAGTAGAAGCTGGATATTTGTGGATATCGGGTGGCAACAGGATGGTTTTGATGGTTCTCACTGAGTCTCTCGCAATAATGGCTAAAGTTACCCATCTCTTCACAGACCGCAGTACACAGGCTCAGCACTGTGACTGTATTTTTTAGGCAAACATGGCAGCCAATGTACACACAGCAATGTCTCACAAACAGCCATGAAGTGAATGGCCAATTTCAGCAGGGTGATTGCTGGCCAGGACACCGGGATCAACTCCCTTTTTTATTTTCAAATTGTGCCAAGGGATCTTTGCATCTGTTGAACAGTCTTATTGCCTTTAACAGTGGTTTGATTCCCGGACATGGTGAAACATCGGGCAAGTTTCCTTGCTCCACACACATCTGTTTACCTAGCAGTAAACAGGAGCTCGGATGTTAATCATTTGGTGGATCACTTTTCCAGGGGTAATAACCCCTTCAAAAATAATAATTTGGTCACTCAATCCACGACGGTTTGTGGGACACTGCTGTGCGCAATTGGCTGCCGGGTTTTGTCCACAAAATATACAGTCAATTCAATTTAAAGCTATATCAAATGCAAGGTTTATCATTATTATTACTGTATTGAAGTGCCAGCCTGGACTGTGATATCAAAAGGTGGAGCTTGAACCTACAAACCTCTGATCTGGAGGCAAGAGTCACTACTGACTGAGCAGATTGGCACCAATCGATACTTTACACTCAAACAGTTACACTGCTGTTGCTGCCACGGATGGGCTTGGTTACTCTTAATCTTTCTTATGACCTTATATCTCGTCTTAATTATCACCGATCTGGAAGCTGCAGGAAAAGCGCCGCCCACTTGCTGTTTGCTGGTTTGTAATTCAGGCTCCGCTGTGTAGAAATCTGTTTCATTTGGCTCACATTCCATGCCACAGCGTCATTTTAGTGAGGTGCTGAATGGGGCTCTGATCCGCCGATCGGTTGTGTGACTGATGCTTGAAAAGGGTGATAATAATAATAGTAATTTCACATTTACACAGCTAGCCCTTTGTGTAAAAATAAACATCTCAAACCGTGTCATAGTGTGTCAGCTTGGCTCTGTTCGTACCACTCTGGCCTGTGAGTCAGAAAGTTGTGGGTTCAGCCCCGTGCCAGGAGTTCAAAACTCGTTGTGTCTAAGCTGATGATCCAATGTGGGGTGTGCTGCATTATTGAAGGGTGCCATCCTATGGATGAGATGTTAAACTGAGGTCCCATCTGCCTTTACATATGAACATTAATCCCATGGCACTATTTAAAAAGAGAAAGGAGTTTCTCCCGGTGTCCTGGCCAACAATCCTCTAAATAATATTAGTTTCTCACTTCATGGCTATCTGTGAGATATTGCTGTGTGCAAATGGCTGCTGCATTTGCTTACAAATACACAGTTACTGCACTTCACGGTAAATTCTGTGAAGTGCTTTGAAATGTTCTGATGATGTGATAAGTATCAGGGATAATTATTACCATTATTATTGTGTGCTTGGCCAGTCTAAATGGACCTCTCTACATTCCTAAGTAAACACATCCTCTGGTTACCTCACAGATTATGACTGTATAACATAGATGTACATAACACCCGTGGCAATAATTCCTAGCTGATTTAATTCCCCACCACCACCATTTGCGACAATAACTTTTGTCGTTGGATGAATGAAGAGACTATTCATTACTAATCTTCAGCCCCTCTCTCCATCTTTAAAACCTGACTTAACACCTTTTTGACTGCACTTTTCATTACCTCCCCCCCCTTCCCCCGCACCACCTTCCTAAGATTCCCGCCCCCCAATATCCCAGCCTCCCAGTCAGTTCCGTAAATGCTTTGAGATGTCATCTCGATGTGAAAGGCGTATGTAAATGTAAAATACAAAATTGTTGTAATCTTCCTCCGCGAAGACACTCTACTTTTAGAGAGGTCCTAGCTGGACAAGCAGTGGGAAGTTGGTCAGACATTGCTCTCAATGGTTCTAGCTGGTTAAACTGCAGTAGTTGCCCTACATACATTCTGAGGTCCCCAAACACTGGTTCTTGCCAACCTGCATTTATACTCTCCGGAATTAGGTCGCAGGTTGCATCCCTTTGGGGAGCAAGTGCACATTCCATTCCAGACACACAAAAATGTTCATGTGTAGGTGACATGCATTCATGGAATTCTCAGCCTGGTTTGGATACTCTTAAGAGTAGTGATTCGTTCCACATTTGCCAGACACCTGGCTAACCAAATAAAAATTGTAGTCATTATTAATGGGCCCATAGATTGGTTCCAAAGGTGAAGGGTCCAGTATTCTAACACAGGGTAAAGTGAATGCACAATTTCTCCCTTCCAGCCCCCAGTGGTGTTTTTTTTCCACATGAGTCACCCAGTCTAATCCCACCCTCCTGATCATTTCCTACAACCTTTAATATTGCTCCTCTTCTGTCAACAGTAGTGAGCTGGTTATCCACACTAATCGGTACTTGGCCCCATTATGGATATGGAAACACCATGGACACTGGGTTATCACGCAACATAAAAATTGACTACTCTCTGACTTTTCCTCTATCTGACTCTCCTTAACTTTCTATCTCAAACTCATTTTCACTATCTATCTGACACTATCTAACTCTTGTTGGTTACCAAAATGTGCATTGATTTTTAAAACCTAGCCAGTGTTTTCTAAAGTATGAAGGTCAATAACTCACAGGATTACACTCCTTGGAGATTTCTTTGTCTTCTAATTTAACGATTTCACTCTGAAGATCAGATGCAATGAGCACTTCTTCTTTAGTTACAAAATCAATCACTTTACCCTGTGTTAGAATACCAGACCCTTCACCTTTGGAACCAATCTATGGGCCCATCAACCATGGAGCGATTTCATTCATTTTAACAGAAGGCAAATTTAAAGTAGAAAAGATTACCTTTTGTACTTCAGCAAGTGGGAGAATTCCCACCGGCATCTTGCAGATTTAAGTCTTAGAAGCAAGGAGGTAACTTTCAGCCAAGCATGATTTATGGTTTTCATGAGGAGACAGCTCGGAGCAGAGAAGCTATTTCTTGGCAGAGTTTCCAGTGTCCAAATCAATACGTCTCATGCCGCTACACTCCAATTAATGGGTTGATAGGACATTAGAAGCACCGGTGGTCAGCAATTGCACTGTGTCTTTTAAATATGTCCTAGTCGAGCTGACTATGTGTGTCAGCTTGGCTCAGTTGATTACACTCTCACCTCCGAGTCGGAAGGTTGTAGGTTCAAGCCCCATATTGAGACTTTGAGCTCACAGTCAAGGCTGTTATTTCAGTGCTGGGGTATGCTTCCCGCTATATTGTTGGACATGCCATCCTTTGGATGACATGTTAAACTGAGACCAGATCTGCCTGCTCAGGTGAACATTAAACATCCTTTAACACTATTGGGAATAAAGAAGCGAGTTTTTTTGCAGTGTCCTGGTCAGCAACCCCTCAGATAGAATTGATACTTGACCTTCTGCCTATTTGTGGGAAATTCCTATGCACAAATTATCCTCCTTTTTGTCTACAATACACAGTCATTATACTTCAAAGTAAAATCTTGTGAAATGCTTTGAGATCCTATAGGTGCTGCGTCAAATGTACCCAGTGTTGCACATGTCTGACAGTGACAGGACAATTCCTAATGGAAATTTTTTTAGTCCACACTTTGGCTAATTTGTATTTTGTGTGATATCTAACTATCCACACTGTCTGCTTACCCACAATCCTAAATTAGTGGGGAGTATCTACCATAACATGATTTGTTGTGTTTTGTTTTGCAGGTACATTCGATCGGAGCGATCAGTCATTTTAATAAACTTCTGTCTGTCCATCATTTCATCAAACGCTCTCATCCTGATAGGACAAACTCAGACAAGGAACAAGGTAAGTAATGTATTTTTAAGTGAGCTCATATTATTGTGTGTGAACGGGTCTGGCCATTCAGATCTTGGTAGAACTCTCGCCTCGGAGTCGGAAGATTCTGGGTTTATAGACTAGGCTGACACTCCATTGCAATGCATCGGGGGAGTGCTGCATTGTCAGGTGCCATCTTTCAAACAAGACGTTAAACCAAGGCCCCATCTGTCTGTTCAGGTGGACTTTAAAAGATCCCGTAGCAGATTCAAAAAGAGAAAGGAGTTTATCCTGGTGACCTGGCCAACAATCTTCCAGGTGAAATTGGTTATTCACTTCATGGCTGTTTGTGGGACATTGCTGTGCACAAACTAGCTGCTGCATTTGCCTACGATATACAGTCACCAGATTTTACAGTACACCCTGTGAAGCTAATTGAGAAGACCTCCTGACTTTAAAGGTGCAATATCACTATAAAGATTATTATTATTATTATCATCACATGCTGCATGTTAACCCTCTTCCCCCATCCCCCATAAGGTAGAGCCACTGCACCAGCAATGCTGATGTGGCAAAGTGGTTGTGATATTTTTCCTGGCGATCTTAAACCGCAATCATCTGGATCATATGTTTGAGCAACAGGAAAGATCAGAGAATCACATCAGCGATGGCTTTAAATTGGATCAAATGAAGAAGGTCATTTTACTTCCCGTGGAGATTGAGCGGTTCAGTGGTGAAAAAAATAATAATCCTTTGGTATAGCGCCTCATCATGTCGTCGAGACATCTCAAAGCTTCACATGAATTACAGTAAAGTGTTGTGGATTTGTAGGCAAACCGCTTCTGATTTTCCTTTCTTGGGGGGGGTGGGGAGCGGAGAAAAAATTATGGGGACAGAAAATTCATGCTCAGTTGACAAACTACCTCTGGGATCCCATCCTTCCCAGGATAGGTGAAAACAATTGGAAAGTGAGATTCATTGTATAAAAGAGGTTGATTTAGAGGGGAAAAAAAGGGAGCAGTAGCATAGACATGATGGGTGAGTGGCCTCTTAGACTGAAAGTTTAGTTTCTCTCTGTGAGCCAGAATGACCAAGAGGAAATCTTCCCACCCTCTCTTTCTCTTTCCTCTCTTTCTTTCTCCATTTCTGTTTTCTTCACCCCCATCTCTCGTTCTCTCCCTTCCCTCTCTCTCTCTCTCTCTCTCCCCCCACCCCCGTCGTCTGCCTGTTTGTCTTGTCTGTCTGGAGTTTGCTAAGTGTTTGCTCTTGGTTTTGGACAGGTTATCTGTACACTAGTGGCAGCATTCCTCCATTTCTTCTTCCTCTCATCCTTCTGCTGGGTGTTGACCGAGGCCTGGCAATCGTACATGGCAGTGACTGGAAGGCTGAGGAACCGAATCATTCGGAAGCGGTTCCTGTGTCTTGGATGGGGTTTGTTCATTCTCCTGTTCTGCATCTTTCATAATCGGCTTTTGGTTCACATGTTAAACCCAGGACTTGCCCGCCTGTTTTCAGGTGGCAAATATTCCATCATCCGAACTACACAACTATTTGGAATAGAGAAGGGAGTTTCCCATGGTGTCCTGGCCAACAATCCCGCAGATGACTTGACCATTCACTTCATGGATGCTCCTGGGATCTTGCTAGTGCAGCAGATAGCTGACACGTTTGCCTGCAAATTCACAGTCACTACACTTGACAGCAGTTACTTGTGAAGGACTTTGAGACATTTAGGCACAAGTGTGAATTCCTTGGTTTTGTATCTAGCGGCATTTTTATTTGCTTCAGCCAGATACACATAATTGTGCTTAAGAGTTCCAAATAAGTATGCCAACTACACAAGGAAATTTCCCTGTGTCTGGAATGGGAATGTGCGCTATCTCCCTGGAGGGACACACCCTGCTTTACCTAATTCCAGAGAGGATTACAACAATAACAACAATTTGCTTTTGTATAATGCACTTCATGCGCGGGAACCCGTGCCTTGCATTTACCTTCCATTCACCATTGATGAGGTGCCAAGAGCGCTTCCTCCCTCTTTTCCCGAAGAGCCTCTCACTGGCACCACTGTTGCCCAGTCTGCCTTATGCCACCCACCGCCCCCGCACCCCCATTGGTCACCATAATGCACAACCCTAACTTGGAGAGCGAGTTGCATCTCTGCAATGCATTGAGATAATTGGGATTCACATATCTTGAATCCTTTTTTTCTTGCAAACACTCAGTCTTGTTACAATTCAGGATGACATGACTGTTAAACATTAATGTGGATCTCACGTCTCAAATTGAGTTTAAAAAGTCTTCAGTACTCCCAAAAGGAGAAATATTAGCACCAAGTTCTGAATTAATTATGTTCTTTCCTGATGTGACTTTCTTAAGAGGCTCGGTTCAGTTTTGAGATTTTTCATATATAGCTGATTTTGTGCACTTGAACTATATGATTGCTTTTGTCAGTAGAGCCCTGCGGGTGGCCACTGGGTATCAGCAATGCAAGTGCACTGTTCCCAGCCAAGGGAACAGGACGAAAGGCACTCACAGAGTCCTAGATCTCACAGTGCAGGAAGAAATCATTCAACCCATCCACTCTTGCAGCTCCAGAGGCCAGGCAAAGGGTCTCCAGCACTTACTGTTTAATGTGGAATTTTACCAGGTCTGAATGACATTAGCACACTGAGTATGGTACGGCTATCTTGAACTAAATAGTTGCTCAGTTCTATTAGCTGTTGTCTGATTGCATGCCACTGACAGTCCAGAAGCTGTTCTGTAAATCTTCAGCTTTAACAGCGCTCCCATTGCATCGTTAGGGAGCTGTGCATGCTCACTCCAACGGTGGAGCAAAGAAGCTTTAAGCAGCTATTTATATAAAGAGGGCTCGGGAGGCAGCCGACCTTTGGCTCTCATTTAGAGAATTAATAGAACAGCAGGGCATGAAAACAGGCTGTTCGGCCAACTGGTCCACACTGGTATTTAGACTCCACTCGAGCCTCCACCCTTCCTATTCCCCTCTCCTATACCCTTCTCCCCTCATGTATGAGTCAAGTTTTATCTTAAATACATTGATGCTGTTTACTTTAACCACAGCTTCCAGCAGTAAGTTCTCCCCAGGTGTATTTTTCAACCTTTACAAGTGCTGATATATGTCAGCCTGGCTTAGATGGGGTTTGTGCTGCATTGCAAGAGGTGCCTTCCTTTAGATGATACGTTAAACCAAGATCATGTCTGCCTGTTCAGGTGGACATTAAAGATCCCATGGCAATATTCTGAAAGAGAAGGGAGTTTTATTCTCCCAGTGTCCTGGCCAACAATCCCTCAATAAATATGTCATTCATTTAGTGTTTGTGGGGCAGTACTGTGTGCAAACTGACCGTTGTGTATACATGCAAAACACACAGTTTACTGATAAAAGGCACTGTGAAGTATTTTGAGACATCCTCCTCATGTGAGAGGATTCTTATTATTGCAATAAAATGTATATTTTTAAAATTCTCTTTCAGGACTCCCAGCACTGGTCGTGGCGACATCCATTGGATTCACCAAATCGAAGGGTTATGGAACAGTGAACTAGTAGGTAGACCATATACTCTCCAGGGTTTGATCAATAGATCCTGAGCTAAAACTGGCTCTGAGACCAGCTTGGTGGGCAATGAACAAGAGACCTAATATTACTGAAGACACTGTTGGCTTACCCAGAGGATAACGTAGATTGTTATTTAGTATTTAAAAATCTGGTGCTTTTGATTTCAGTATTGATGCTGCTTAGGACTATGGAGTCCTGTAGCTCAATGGTTAGAGCACTCGCCTCACAAACGAGAGGACCTGGGTTCGATTCTCAGGCTGGGTGAATCGTTGGACAAGTTTCCTTACTCCACACGCCTCTGTTTACCTAGCAGTAAGTAGGATCCCGGTTGTTAGTCAATTGGCGGATCGCTTTTCTAGGGGTAATACCTGCAAACAAACAAGCAAAAATAATACTTTGGTCACCCAATCCACAACTGTTTGTGGGGCACTGCTGTCCGCAGTTGGCTGCACGTTTTGTCCACAAAATATAAAGTCAATTCACTTTACAGTAAAGCATTTTGAGACATCTGTAAGGTGTGATAAGGTGCTATATCAAATGCAAGGATTATTATTATTTATACAAGACTTGGATGGGCAAGCTGGTCACTGGGACCAGGAAGTTTTTCTGCTCAGCTCCTGTTAATCCTGTAAGCCAGAGCCCTAATGGGTAGAGTGGTTGTATCTGAACAAACAGTAGGAAGTTTGCCATATGATGCTTTCAATGGCAAGTTATGCACTTTTAGCTGGTTAGACTCCAGCAGTACCCCAACGGACACTGCGCTTAAGAGTGGCAGAGCCTGACACTGAGGGGAGTAGGGGTGACCGTAAGCATGGTCGAAGAGGAAAGTCAAGATCTAAAGGAGAGGCAAGGTGGAGGAATTAAGGGAAAAAGTTTTTATGCTTTATATAGAGAGTGAAGGATGAATGGGAGTGATTACGAGGCAGTAATCTAATCGAGGAGTTCAGATGAATTCATAACATGTCTTCAGCAGTACCTTACATTCTAGGATCCGAAAGCCTTGGCTCTTGCCAATCTGTGCTTATCCACTGGAATTAAGGGAGTAGGATGTGTCCCTCCAGGGAGAAAGTGTGCATTGTGCAATAAGACACAAAGAAATTTCCACGTATAGGTAAAATACATATGTGGAATTCTGTGCCTGGGTTGGATGCTTTTAAACAGGCTTCGGGACCACATCACTCCCACCCTCGCTCGCCTCCACTGGCTCCCCATCCCCCAGAGGATTGATTTCAAGATCCTCATCCTCACCTACAAGGCCATTCACGGCCTTGCTCCCTCCTACCTCTCCAACCTACTATCCCCTACCTACCTGTCCGTACCCTCCGTTCCTCTGGCTCCGGTCTGCTCCACGTCCCCCGCCCCAACCGCCCTACCATCGGTGGTCGGGCCTTCAGCCTCTCAGCCCCGAGGCTCTGGAACTCCATCCCCCAGTGCCTTCGCCTTGCTTCCTCCCTTTCCTCCTTCAAGGCCGGTCTCAAGACCTTTCTCTTTGACCGTGCCTTCAGCTCCCCTCTCGACTCTCTTCCCCCTCCTCGCTCCCTCCCTTCCTTCCCCTCACCCTGACCATTTCCCCCCTCCTCGCTCCCTCCCTTCCCTCACCCTGACCATTTCCCCCCTGCTCGGGTCATGACCCAACTGTGCAGCGCCTTGGGACGTCCTCCTGACGTGAAAGGCGCTTTATAAATGGAATCTTGTTGTTGTTGTTGTTGTGTTGATGAGTTTCCGCATGTCAGATGCCCAGCTGACCAAAAAAAACATTTGCCCAGTCGCTTCCTTCATGTCCCGACATTGCATCGTACAAGCGACCTAGATTTGTCTCCGACACACTGATAATATCCCAGCTAATGAAGGGGGAAGGGCTCAATGTGTAATTTAACATGATCCAAATCAGGGGTGTGTGTTAGTAGTTTCTTTATTTGTCAATCCAAACTCTCAATACTCCACTCTAAAACCACTCCCTATGTCCTTTGTACTTCTTGCCCTTCTTATTGGCCTGTTTGTTCATTGTCAATTTACTCTTAATGGAGTATCCAACACAATGTAGCCTCTTATGTCAGATCCCCTCACCTTCTCCCACAAACATATCTGCTCATAATTTTGGTGAGAGCTGGAGGCTGTAGTGACTTGGACAGATGTTGCACAAACTTGGCAGTAGCTGAGAGGGGTTGAAAGAGGGAATTTCTGCTGGGTGTCAGCTGGCCATCAGAGATCCTCCCAGTGCTGTGAAAGGCCCCAATCATTGAGTAATGGCTTGTACTATCAATGAACTTGGGACACAGATTTCCAGGTGACATTGCAGTGTTGGAGGGGGACTGTCTGAGGCAACGGAAACAAATTCAAGCAGAACTCCTCAATGAGTCTGGCTACTATCATTCTATTGCATGAGCACGCTGTACAGATTTGGCCTGATATTAACCTTTCATCTCTGCCTTTAAACATTAATGGCAATTGGGGGGTGGGAAAGAAATAATAATAATCCTTGGATTTGACATTGTGAGTCAAAGCACTTCACAGAATATACTGTAAAGTGAATTGAGTGTATATTTTATGGGTGAAACGAGGCAGCCAATTGCGCACAGCAAATGAATTAAGAACAATAAGTGTGAATTTTTTCCATCAGAAATCAGAAAAATTAAAAAAAGACCAAAACTATGTATCAACATCTGCTAGAGCTGTTATGAAAACTTTCGACAAGCTGGATGTTAATAGCCTGTTTCCACTTGTTGGTGAGTCCAATGCAAAGCAGGGGACATAATTATAAGATAACAAATAGCAGATCTAATAGGGAACTTAGGAGGAACTTTTTCATGCAGAGGGCGGTCGAAAGGTTGACATCAATGCCAGAAGCTGTGATTGAAGCAGAAAGCATCACTGTATTCAATTTAATTTGATGCATACATGAGGAGAATGGAATAGAAGGGGTGCAGTAGAGGGCTATGGAGCGATGGTGTGGCTTGTTAGAGTAGTTGGGTCGAATGGCCCGCTTCCATCGTTTATCGCTCTAGGAACTCTATGTACTATAAATGCAAGTTGTTGTATATAAATGCATGTCGTGATTGTTATAACTTGCAAGTCCTTGCACTGATGTTGTTGCCCTGTTTTTTTTTTTTTTTTTTTTGCAGTTGTTGGCTTTCGCTGGAGGGCGGGCTGCTCTACGCCTTTGTGGGACCCGCAGCTGTTGTTGTTTTGGTATCATCTTTACCTTAGCATTTCACTTCGCGGTGACACCAATTTTTTTTATGTTTTAAAGCTGCGTGAATTTTCTCTTTTCGTTTACCCCTTTTATCCCTTCCCTCCTCCCCTCCCCCCACAACCTCCCCCTGAAAGGAGATATTTTATATTTATGCATTTTTATTTCAACAGGTCAACATGGTCATTGGAATTCTGGTATTTAACAAACTTGTATCCAAAGATGGAATAACAGATAAGAAACTGAAGGAACGGGCTGGGTATGATTATAAATCCATCATCTAGCATTTTATTCTTTTCAAAAGATTCTGACCATATTTCCTTGACTGCAACCCAAACGATTTTATGTGTTCTTGGTTGAGTGGAGGAAGGAGAGAAAAGTAAGAGCCATGTAATCTTAAACCGGTTCCAATTAATATGTATCGCTGACTAGTTGCTACGACTTTGTCTCGGTGGCCAGTATGGATATTGGACTATTTCTGGGTGGGTCAGGTTTTGAAGTAAGGAGGGAGGTAGGAAGGGAAGTGGACTGGAGGAAGACAGCATCCTTTATGTAGTAGGTCAGTTAGGATTAGTGGTTTACTTTAATCGATCTATCTGCTGATTGGAATCCTGTCACCCAGGTGAAGCGAGACATGCCATGCAGTTCTCCAACCCCCTCCCATCCTCTTTACAAAATTGTGGGTTCAAACCTCACATCAGGACTCTGACTCACAGTCTAGGCGGACACTCCAGTTCAGTGCTGAGAGAGCAATGTCGGGGGTGCCAACCTTCAGATGAGATGTTCAGCTGAGGTCCTGTCTGCCTGTTCAGGTGAATAATAAAAATCCCAGAGCACTATTCAAAAAGAGGGTGTTTCTCATGGTGTCCTGGACAACAATCCCCAGATAATATTGGTTATTCACTTCATCGCTGTTTGTGAAACACTGCTGTGCACAAATTGGCTGTTGCATTTGCCTACAAAATACGCAGTCACTGCACATTACAGTAATTTCTATGAAGCGCTTTGAGACATCCTTCTACCATAAAAGCCGCTATTTAAAATTCATAAATATTATAATTATTTGTAGACACTGTACCATGCTAGAAATCTGTGTTTTGCTACTCTTTGTGGTCTTAACTCCAAGGCAATGAAGAATTTCAATTCCTTCCTTAACGGACACCGACTGTCACAAAGCCAATTTTAAAGAGAGGAACATAAGAGGTTTTGATTTTACCATCCAAGCCACATTGTTACCTACTGAAAAACCAACCGTTTGTACCCAGCCAACATCAAGCAGAGAAATAGCTGAGACATCATTAAGGGCTAAATTTGCAGATTGCCAAAATAATGTTTGTAGCTTTTTCTCCAGGAAGAGCACTTGAATTTGTCCCAAAGGGAGTCATTTTGGAGATGCTTCACTCCGTGTGACATTTCAAAAAGCTTTTATTTTCCCTTTATACCAAATTTCTACCTTCACCCACTTTCGCAACATTGCCTGGCTTTGCCATTGTCTCACACCGCAGGCTGCCGAGACCCTCATACATGCATTCATAACATCCAGGCTCGACTACACAAACTCCCTGCTTGTCGGCCTCTCCAACTCCTCCCTCCATAGGCTGCAGATCATCCAGAACTCTGCAGCTCGTGTCCTCTTCCGCACCAGGCTCCACAACCCTATCACCCCAATCCTAGCCCAACTCCACTGGCTTTCCATTACACAGAGGATACAGTTCAAGTTCCTGGTCGTCACTTTCAAAGTCCTCCATGGTCTTGCTGCCTCCTACCTCTGCGACCTTCTACCCCCCCCTACCAAACTGCCTGCTCCCTCCGCTCAGTGGGCTCCAGTCTGCTTCACATCCCCGCCTCGCTCGCCCGCACTGAGTTTGGCAGGTGGACGGGCCTTCAGTCACTCTGCTTCCACCCTCTGGAACTCTATCCTGCAGTCCCTCTGCCTCGACACCTTCCTTGTCTCCTTCAAGACCAGTCTCAAGACCCGCCTCTTCGATCGTACCTTCAGTCACCCTCCTTCGCCCTCTGCCCTCCACCATCCCTGATCTCGACTACCAGCTCGGGTCCAAAACACTGATTGTCCAGCACCTTGAGATGTCCTCTTGATATGAAAGGTGCTATATAAATGTTCACAAGGTCTTCGTCTCCTTTAGTTTTGTAATCGTTGAGGGGAATGGGGGTGTTCTTCAAGATTGTTAGCAGAAGAATCCGAGGGAGGGATTTGAAAGAATTTTCTTCAGTCAAAGAAAATCTGAGTATTTGAAAATCATTAATCGGAAGCGGCCATTGAGGCCAGATTGATAGCGGGATTTGGGCAGTCGATAGAGGGATTAAGGGATAAGGGCAAAGATCTGGAAAGGGAATTATTTTGTTTTTAAAAGGTGACACGATGGGCCTAATGGCCTCCTTCTCCACTGTAAATTTCTGTTTCCTACCAATAGATGCTGGGCTACGTCACCACAGGTTGCCATCTGGTATCCTATCCAAGTAGCTAATTCTTCAGCACTGGGCCACTGAGCATTCCCTCACCCCTGCCTGCGGCCACAAAACTCTTTACACCGAGGGCAGACAGAAGTGTAACTCCCTGCCTGAAACATAGTCAAAGCAGAGTCCAAATATTCTTAAAGGGAATTAGACAGATAGTTGAAGAGGAATACTGAGTGAGTTTGTGTGTGTGTGTGCATGTGGGGTGGGGGCAAGGGGATAGCAGGGGAACAGGATTAGACTGGATGGTTCACATTGAGAAATACGCCATCGCAGAGTAGATTAGTAAGTAGATGGTGAGTAGATGGCAAGTTTCTGTCCTGGAGGATTCTGTGAGCTTTTCCATGACTTTAGGGCTCAGATTCTTAGGGAATCTGTAACCGGTGACACAAGTGTAAGATAGCAGCCTGAATCGATGATTGAATCAGATACTATCAACAACAACAACTTGGATTTATATAGCGCCCTCTATGCCGGACAGCGTCTCAAGAGCGCTTTACAATAACGGATCCCGGGACCGAGCCAGGGAGAGGGGGAGGAAGGTGACCAAAGGCGCGGTCGAAAAGAAAGGTCTTCAGCAGAGACCTGAAAATGGGAAGGGAGGGAGCGAGACAAAGGGAGTGAGGAAGGCAGTTCCAGAGCCTCGGGGCATAGTGGCTGAAGGCACAGCCGCCGAGGGTGGAGCGGAGGACTCTGGGGATGAGGAGAAGGCCAGACCCGGAGGAACGAAGGCAACGGGTACTGTTTTGAGGAGAGGGGAGGTCAGAGAGGTAGGGGGGTGCAGAGGAGTGCAGGGACTTGAATATAAGGGTGAGGATCTTGAAATCGATCCTCTCTGGGATAGGCAGCCAGTGCAGTCTGGCAAGGACTGGGGTGATCGGTGAGCGGAGTTTCGTGCGGGTGAGAATGCGGGCAGCAGAATTTTGAATGATTTGCATTTTATGGATGGTAGTGGATGGGAGACCGGCGAGGAGGGCGTTAGAGTAATCCAGCCGAGAGATGACAAAAGGCATGGACCAGGGTTTCAGCGGCTTTTGGGGAGAGAGATGCATTCAAGAGGAAGCTAGATTTCACATGCGGGAGAGGGGAATAGAAGGGTATGGGAATGAGTAAGGAATGCATGAAGACTTGTGTGGAATATTAACATCGGAAAGGACTGGTTAAGGTTGTGAGGTCTGTTTCTGTTCTGTACATCCTTTGTAATCTTTATAATTCTCTGTGTAGAGTTATCTCCCAAAGAGAGATTGAGTTTGATAAGTCCAACACAAGCTTTGGTGGGTGGAGGGAACAGGCACGTCTCCAAAGATTCTTCCTTGTCTTATTCCGTACTTTATTTTGAAGAAAAACACAAAGCAATAATCACCTTTAAAGTAAATTCACAATGAATGAACTGTCCCATCACGTTTACAGGTCTGTTTAAAAAAAATTCAAAAGTTAAATTGTAATGTTACTGTGCCATAATATCACCAAACACTTCATGGTGATTTTTTGTAGGCAAAGAAGGTAACCATTTTGGGGACAGTAAGACCACACACAAACACACATATATAAACAGACATGAGGCATATCACCAATTTGAGTAAGAGGATCGTTGACCAGGACACTGGGAAAAAGCCCCTTCCCTTTTCGATTAGAGTTAGGCATCTTCTCCACAAATCACAAAGAGTTTGTGGGGTGTGGACTGAGCTTTAATACAGGCTGCAACAGAGAGTGGCAGATTGGCAGATGCCCTTCTCACCTCTGAGACTGGAATGAGATTGAAAGGCCTGTGATGCTTCCAATGAAGTGACCCTGGGCAGCCTGGCATCATGTGAACTACAATTGACTCTGACTTGCTGATCTCATTGGAGATGTACTGCAGCTGGCAGAAACTTGCACCTGGTGTCTGTACTGAATTTGACCCAGGCCTCGGGAGCCTTTTAAGCTTGCAACTGCTCCCTGCGCCTCTCAGAGAAGGAGGTGGGGGTTATTGGAGAGCATGCCAAAACAATTTATTGTGAAATGGAGGTAACTGCGTATTTGTTGGCAAACAAGGCAGCCCATTTGCACACAGCAATATCCTGCAAACAGCTATAAGTGAATGACCAGTTTTATGTTGAGGGATATATATGGTCAATTCATTTTACAGCATATTCTGTGAAGCGCATTGAGACATCTAGAAGACATGAAAAGTGCTATATCAAATGCAAGGATTATTATTTTTATAATTAGCCAGGATACCAGGAGAATCTCCCTTCTCTTTTACAGTAGTGCTACCGGATCTTTAATGTCCACCTGAAGAGAAAGACTAGTTAACAGGGAGCACCGAGGAATTTAAGGGAATTAACCTGAGGAGCTAGGTTTGCGAGAGGTCTTAGTTCCACAAACTTGAAACACCAGAGAGGTGGTGTCCTTCCTCCGGTTCAAAAGCCATGGCCCGTTTTCTGAAAACCGTCATTCACAACATGACAGATCTTCCATTGGGCTGTTATTTTCACACCATTACGGCGATATAGCGCAGGTTAGAAGCCAAACAGCCCTAGGTTGAATATTGGTCTCTTCCTGTTGCTCCCTGGGCAGTGAAGAGGGTGCTGTCTCTTTCCATCTGCAAAATATTTTTAAACCAAAATGAAAAAGAGAGATTTATATATTTGCAAAGGAGTGAATGGGGGGGTGGGGGGCTGGCGACAGTAGGGGAAATAAATTTCAAAATTTTGGTTTCCCTTCAAGGAAATATGGAATAATGCTTGTTTTTATTTTAAAGTGTGGTTGGTTGCTGTGCACGTATTTGTGTTAAGAAAATCGACATAAAATGTCCTTTGCTGGCAAGAAGAGAAAGGAAGAAACGGGATGACGTTTTGTTTTTTGTTTTTTTTGTTTCTTTGGGTTTTTTTTGGATGACGGTATTACTCTCTGTCTCTGATCTTTGTGTTAAAGTTCAATTTTTTGTTTCAGTCTTTTAATTTTAATTCCAGTCAGATGACAATCCCTCTTTACGGTATGACGCTCAAATGTTCGAAGTGCGGAGTAATTTCTTCCGGTGAAGTTTCGGCCACGGTCGCCAGTAATGCCATGTTAGTTCCTGTAATTTCAATTCTTGTTATTTTTTCTTTTGCACTGGCGCCATGACAACAGTCGCACGTAGCTTTTACCAGCCGGATTGCATGGTTTTACATTTTTTTTCAAGAAAAAGGAATTAATTTTATAAACATGTATTTATATAGCGCCCTTCATGTGGGGTAGGGTCTCTGAGCGCGGACAACCATGGATCTTGATGCCGAGCCGGGGAGAAAGGGGGGGGCTGGCTGACCGTGGGCATGGTTGAAGAGGAGAAGTCTTCATGTGAAATCTGAAGATGGGCAAGGAGGGACACAGCGGAGGGATTGAGGCAGGGATTTCCAGACTTTCAGGCATAGTGTCCGAAAGCACAGCGGAGAAAAAACAGCTTTCTAATTGATAGCTTCCCACAATCCTGCGCCATCGTAAATTTCAAAACAAAATGGTCTCGCAGGCAAAGAGTAGGTGAACATGTCACTGAACTTGCGCAGTTTACAGGAAGTGGTGTTGGTGGTGATATTATGACCCGGAAGTTGGCCTTTTTTTTTAAGTGTGCGGGAAGCCAAACCAAAGGCAGGTCCACAGGGTACCCAGCGCTTTAACAATGTGTTACTGGGGAGAGCCTTGTAACAGGATTCTACTGTATATTTGAATAGAAATTCCTCCTGGGTCTAGATTTACTATGTCTTAACATTTTCGAAGATCTAGGATTTGGCAAATTCTTAAATCCCCATAATGTGTATTTTTGAAAATTTTGTAGTAGTAGTGAGTAGTGTTAAGTCCCATAGCTCCAGTTATCAGTCACTGGGGACTGAGATTCTTCCCACTTGGCTCCCATTAACTCTGCAATCCCCAATGGGTAATCTTAGGGGACAAGCAATAGGAATCTTGCCATATTGTTCAAAAGGGCAAGCCGTGTGGTTTTAGCCGGCAACGTTTTGAGATGCGCTTTGAGATGTTTTGATAACATTAGGAAGCTCTAATCAATTGCAAGGATTATTACAATTAAAGAAAATTAGACACTGTGGCATTTACAGTTGTAGGATATTTTTTGCAGGTCTTACCTGCATTTTCACTGCAGAGTACACAATGTGGTGTGGTTGGTATATGAAGCCAAGCTCCGTCATACAGATCTGCTGTTTAACAATGGGGTTTTTTGCAGGAGTTGGAGATAACCGTTGGGTTTTCCTCTTAAAGCACAATTGATAAGACCAACATGAGTCCTCGAGTCCCCATTGTCTACCACTCACCAAACCCACTGAGGACAACCTCAGAGGAGTAAACTTGTGATTGGTATCCTGGTCCTCAGGCCTCTCTACAACTGGCCACTCCCCACCCAAAACCAGTTCTATAGTTCGCAGCCATCATAACTTAGAAATCCAATGCAAAGGGTTGGTTGTGGGTGTGTGAATGATTGGTCATTCACTCCTTGGCTGTTTGTGTGATCATAGAATGGTACAGCACAGAAACAAACTATTCAACCCAACTAATCTGGTGTTTATATCCCACAAACATTCTCCCACCTCTCCCTTATATGCATCAAGGATCTCTTAAATACATTGATGCTTTTTGCTTCAGCTACGGTTTTCAGCAACGAGTACCACATTCTCACCACCCTCTATATAAAGGCATTCCTCCTGAACTCCCTTTTGGAACTACTGTCAGCTATTTTATATCTATACCTCCTCGTTTTGACTCTCCAACAAATGGAAACAGCCTATTTAAACCTTATCGTTGTGTGTAAATCGGCTACACCATTCACCTTAAAAATACACAATCAGTGCACTTTACAGCAAATCCTGTGAAGTGCTTTGAGATGTTATACCCCCATGAGAGGAGGTATATCAATTGCAAGGATTTTTTTTATTTCATTGTGATAAGATGCTAAATGAAAATGTGACTTATTTTGAAGCATTTAACTTGATAAAGGCACCTTATTAACATGCAGGGATTATTATTAATAATAAAACTGTGGAACAACTGAACTTGGTGTGTTGCTTCTATTCATGGGGTTCTGGTTGTACAGTGTTAGTTGAAGGAAGAATGAGGTTTTGGTACCTAAGAGTGGAGGTATTTTGTCTCATATACATAGCTTAGGAGTGCAAAATTCAGATTTGAATTGAGACTCGTAAATAAAGCCACACAGATGAATTCATGACGACGTACCTTCTCATTGTTTCTAAAGTCAATTTGCAGCTTTTCCAGATGGGCTGGTGTCAGTGCCAAGCCATTCGAATCCCAGTCATTAATGAGGGGGTTGTGAAAGTGTGTTGAACACTTTCCTCTGGAAATCTGTGAAGGGAGAGATAAGTAAAGGTTCCATCACTTGGGTCTTGTATTTCCAGCAAGACTTGGCCCGTGAGACCGTTTTGCCTTAAAATTTTAAGATCGCGCAGAATTGTGGAAAATTCTTCAAGTCTTGATTTGGAACGTGACTCAAAACTACTTTGAAAAATGTGGTCCAAAAGGGTATAACGAGGTGCAATTTTTTGGAGGTCTTATCGCTATCTATAGCTTTATCCTCTCACCCCTCAGCCACCGACAAACACACCCAATTGGAGGGTCTGTGGATACATTTCAAGTGAGGACATGATGAGATCTACCACCTTCCCCAATCAATTGAGCAGTTGAGGAATGCTCAATTGGGCAAAAGCACCAAAGAGCTCTCTAGCCACCAAAAATTGGCGGAAAGATTTTTTTTCCAAAAAAAGGCAAACATTTTTTTCTACATAATTGAAAATAAAGGCCATTATTTTCATGTTATAGAAATAAAAGTGTTGATTAACTCCCTTCTGTTTTATTCTTCCAGGGCATCCCTGTGGAGCTCGTGTGTGGTTCTGCCACTCCTAGCGCTGACATGGATGTCAGCCGTCCTGGCCATCACAGACCGGAGGTCGGCCCTCTTCCAAATCCTCTTCGCTGTCTTTGACTCTCTGGAGGGCTTTGTTATCGTCATGGTGCACTGCATCTTGAGACGAGAGGTATCTGTCCTGTGGCAAGATGGGGAGTTTACAGTTCGGGGGCGGGGGTGATGTTTGCAGATTCGGGATATTCAGGGTCACGGACAATGGGAACAGATTCAGGAAGTTAAAAGTGAGAGGGCAGGTTTTACTGATTCACGAGTTCGCATCCAGTCCCTGACCAAGACCAGCTTCCTTCACCTCTGCCACATCGTCCACCTCTGCCGCTACCTTAGTCACATGGACGTTCCACCTGTACTCCTCCCTGGTATCCCATGCTCCACCATTCACAAGTTGCCACTCACCCAAAACTCCGCTGCCCACATCCTCACCCACATCAATCTCTCACCCCCGTCACCCAGGTCCTCCTCAGTAGCCACTGGCTCCCTTCCCTGCCTCCCAGCTGATCGATTTCAAGGTCCTCATCTACGAATCTATCCACTCCCTGACACCCCTTATCTCTCTAACCTTCTACTCCTTTGCCCGCCCCCTGGACACACAACCAACTTTGGCTTGCTCCACATCCCTGTCCTCTCCATGCCACCATTGGTGGCTAAGCCTTCGGTTCCTACAACCCCCTCCCTCTAACCACTCTATCTCACCTGTTTTTCTGTGTTTAATTCTAGCCTCAATTCCTAGCTCTTTTAGCACACTCTGACCAACTCCCTTTTTCTGCCCTTTCTCTTGTCCTATGTCCTACCCTGTACTGGTGAAGCCTTGTGAAACATTGTTCGTAAATTGGAAGGCGGGGGTTAAAGGTCAGGAAGCAAAGTCAGGGGGTAATGTCTCCAGCTTTGGGGTTTAAATGCCAAGGGACAAAGCTTTCAGGTTTGGGAGATTAAAGATTAGAGGACAAGGTTTGCAGAGCAAATAAAATAAAATCCATCTAAAGCCCTTGTGCAATATGGATATATCCTTAAGAAATAGGAAGGTAGAGTGGTGAGTTGTGCAAAGTATTGAGATCAGTGGAGAATTCAGCTCACAGAGGTGTCAGACTTGCTCAGTTGTTAGTACTAACACCTTGGTTTAGAAGATTGTGGTTCAGTCCCCACAGTCATAGCCTTGGCTGACTCTCCAGGGTAGTTTGAGATGTTTTGACAAGGAGTGATATCAAATACAAGCATTATAATTATTAATTATTGGGCAGATGCTCCATTTCACACATTTTTAGGAAAACATAGGTAGAGAACAGCAGGTGCCTGGAGCTGACTAAGGCACTAATCTAGTTGAGATGATATTGGTTACTATAAAGAAAAAAGTTAATCACTTTACAGCTATCCTGGTCATTCCAGGTTATCTCAGAATCACAGTGACTTGACAGCACAGGTGGCAATTTGGCTCTTTGTGCTGGTTCCCTCATTGTAGCTGTCTGCTGTATTCACATTGACCTGTTCTCTCTCCTTTATCCTTTAACTTTATTATCACTTCCATATTACAATACAGTTTACAAAACAATTAACATTTATATAGTACGTTTCACTTGGAGAAAGCAAGTCTCAAAGCGCTTAAAACTGCTCTCTGAGCACCCAAGCTGAGGGTGGGCGCCGAAGGAGGTGGGGAGGGGATAGATAACTGAAAGTGCTGTCAAATAGGTAGGTCTTCAGACAGACAAGGAAAGATACAGATGGAATGAGTAGAAACCCAGGATTGGGGAGAGGTAGAATGGCTGAACGCCCGCCTACCAATAATAGGGTAGATAGGGCGAGGAACATGAAATAGGCTGAGTGGGTTAGAGCTTGGAAGTGGAGTTTGAAGGACAGTTGTGAATCAAACAAGTCACTGAGTATCTGCACCACCTCTGGAGTCAAGCAGGGGGAGCCTTGGGTTTGTCTACGTTTAACTGAATAAAGTTTGAGTTCATCGAGCATTCGATGTCTGACACGTCGTGAGTCAGGGTGGACAGAGTGTCATCCGTGTACCGTGTGGAAGTGATCCCCATGTCTGTGCACGATGTCTAATGTCTTGAATGTAACCCCCAGCTCAGGTGCAAATCCTTAAGTGTCCAGCGCCTTGGGACGTTCTCTCGATGTGAAAGGCGCTATAAAGTCACCCAGCTTAGCTCTGTTGATAACAACCTCACCTACTCTAATTCTTCCTTTCTCTCTCTCTTTCTCTGTCTCTTTCTTTCTGTCTCTCAATTTCTCTTTATGTCTGTGTCTTCTTTCTTTCTCTTTAACGAGAAGTTCTTTCCTCTCACAGGTTCAGGAAGCCGTCAAGTGTAGAGTTGTAGATCGACAAGAAGAGGGGAATGGAGACTCTGGTGGATCATTTCAAAATGGACACGCACAATTAATGGTATGGGATTCTCGCCTGATGTTTGCTCATGAACAAGTTATCAGTTTAGGAATGTTTCACCATGCTCAGAATTTAAAACTTCCTTTTACGCAAAGACAATGTGTTTTTTGGGGGAAAACATTTTTTTGGGGGGGGAAAAAGACCAGAATGGTTGCGAGGAGGCTGCCTTACATGAGAAGTGCACACTGGAGAAAGATATCAGTGGTTAAGCGTCTTTTGAACCTTGCGTTAGAGGATCTTAACTTCAGGGATAGAAACATTTTGAGACATGCATCCACTATTGCCCTTGTGCATGTGGGCACTGGCCTTGGTTTGCAACCCCATTGCTCTTGCTACATGTGGGTTGGCGGGTTGGCGGACACAATCATAGAGAGATTAACAGCACAGAGGGAGGCCATTCTGCCCATCGTGTCTGTGATGGTGCTTGCTGCTCCACTCATGCTATTTCCTCATAATCCCATTTCCCTGCTCCTTCCCTCCCTTTGTACCTTATATTATTATTTTTCCCTCGAGTATTTAGCTCAAATGCTGTTGAGTACTGGCTTCAACAGCTATTTCAGCTTCGTTCTGCCAGCCTTCTGTGTAAGAGATATTTCCTTTTCTCTCCCTCGATCTTCCTCTGCCAATGTTGATCAGTTCATGTGACCGAGATGGGGATTCAATATGGGGCCGGGGGAATCTCCTGGAGAATTTTTAATCTGACTATCTCGTCTGGTTAGGCCAATGTTCAGGGAAAGCTTCTGTCCGATTTGGGGTAAAATTTGCAGTATTCCTTATTTAATGTCGCAAAAAAAAAATACTCACAGGCATCTAGCAACACACCACTCCAGGTAAATAAATGGTTACTTCCTTTCCGGGTCACAATACCTTGAATTCTCTTGAATGTCTGCTTGGTGCTTTTTAACTTTGTGAATATTAGGTCCTGCAAATGAACTGAATTATTAATTTTCTTTATTTAAATATTTATTTCCCAGAAATCCCTCCTTAGCTAACGACTGGCATTTTATCTTACCGATCATCACCAGTGGCCTTAGCCCTCCCCATTGCTAACACAGTAATTTATTTGAACAAAGAGAGTGGGGATTATGGCTCCCGTCCACTCCCACCCAATCCCTGATAGAATGTCGCTGGGCAATATCTATCAAAATAATTAACTCTAGGGCCCAAAATTTACAAAACCTAAAACTCCTCGCTATAAAATAAAATGGCAGACACTGCGATTGAAAGAGGAAGAGGTGTGCTTACACCTCTACAGGGCATCATGGGATATAGTTAAGGAAGATTGCAAACTTTTCCTCATTATGTTTTTTCTCCCCATGTCCCACCTCCCTGATATTAGGGTGGTTGGGTGGGTGAAGTCCACAAATAGGGTAGATTTTGCCCCTGATGGTAGGAGTGGGCCTTTTTATATTCCGCGCTTTTCTTCTGTTCTTAAACTCTTGTGAAGAGACTGTGTTTGGTGTTTATTACAATGCAGAATGTTTTCCAGTAACAGAGATTGTAATAATGAGGTTCCTGTTGTACATGGGTTAAGATAACAGGAGACTACAAAGGAAAGCAAGGACTTGACTGGACTGTTGGTGGCCCAAACTCTGCCGTACGAGTGGGGTGTAGGAGGACACCTGCATCACTAGCTGTGAGTGGCCTACCTTTTCTTTTCATTGAGACGCCAAGGTGCAGGGCCATGCCCGCAGTGCAGGCCAGTGCCGAGGTGCAGAAGATAAAGGGGTGTAAATTGCGACCTGCGAATGTGCCGATTAACACAGTGTTGATAAAGGCACATGGTCAACTCCTTATTCATCACCAGATGTGAATCGCTCTTTCCCTTCCCTCTCCCTCTAATTCAATCTCAATGGTTGGTCAGTATCCCGCTAACCAGTACTCCTGTGCCTCGAGCCGGCAAGTCCATTGGGCGCCCGGCTAGATTTAAGCCTAACTACTGTAGTAAGAGGAAGAAGGAAGAGTGTGGACATGGGCAGCAACCCTTTGAAAATGTAGGATGTTTTGTTCAACATTGTGTTAATTGACACATCACAGGTCGCAATCTTTACCCCAAGACGAGATAAGTTTGCCTATGCTACAATCCATATGATCTTGCACAAAACATGCTCCCAAATCCCTCTCTCCCTCCAATTCTTTCCCACCCTCCGCCCCCACCACCCCCCAACCGTGGCCTGTACTGTCTCGTCCAATATAAATCTAGCAGCTGGGGAGTAGATCTGGGTCAAATGTGGACTTATGTATCAGTAATTTGCTGAACCTGAAACCGACTTTAAAATGTAATGGACAGGACAGGACCCCACTCAGTGACTAGGAATGCCTGCCAAATACACAGCCACTACACTTTATAATAATAATGATAATCCTTGCATTTGATATAGTGCCTTATCATGTCTTCAAGACATCTCAAAGCGCTTCACAGAATATACTGTAAAGTGAATTGACTGTATATTTTGTGGGTGAAACTTTACAGTAAATTCTGTGAAGTGCTTTCAGACAACCTTCTAACTATATCAAATGCAAGTATTTATTCTTATTTACGTAGCCTTTTGAAACCTCCGGAATTAGAATTCATTCTTTAACTCTGAATTTGATCTTATTGTCATCCTCAAAAAAAATACAGGAAAAAAACAGCTTCAAAACAAAGGGCTGTATTTCAGAATTAGCCAAATTTTAGATGCTCAGAGACGTGACATAAACAGAGTGTATCTTGACCTAGGTGGGATTTGATAGTTTATTGGACAACTAAACTAAAGTGGGTTCACCATGGTGATGGTGTGAACTCCACTGTGGCTGTTCCACAGTGCTTCCTTGTAGATGGCACGGAGGGGGTGGAATCGATCACCCTCTTAATAATAATCATCTAAGAATCGGGGATCTCATCCTTACGTCTTTGTGACAGGAAATTATGATTGTGGAGACATAATGTAAAGATTCCTTCTTTTAGGAAAGCATCTCCTTACCTGATACAGCCCCAGTGTGAAGATGGACCATAGACTCTTGGGCACCCTATTACCTAGTCACTTGTTTATTGGTGAGATTTGCCTAGTGGTGGCAGTGGACATGGGCTGATGATGAACCCACTAACCCCTCACCCCCGCCCTGCACCTTGCCTCTCCCCTTCCCCAGCCCCTACCATTTCATTGCTTTGTTTTTAGCAGTACATGCAACAACAATACACATTTATGTAGCACCTTTAACGTCGGGAGGATGTCTGTATTCACAACTGACTGGAAGTCCGAGCTGGGCGGTGGGCGAGGGAGGGAGTGGAGTGGAGTTGAAGAGGGGGAGAATGGAAAAGCTGCAAAAAGGGCGGTGGAAAAGATAGGTCTCAAGGTGGGTATTGAAGGCGGGGAGGAAGGGGAAAGTGAAATAAAATGAATTCATTGTTGTCCATCTGATTACTTGTTGCTGGGGGTAGAAGATCGTTGTTTTCAGCGATCACTGTATAAGATAGAATCTTCCCCCCCCTACACACACACATACCCCATTGTATCCTGTAGGCGAACAGGTGGAGGAGTGTGGACTTATCTTTTCCCAAAGGAGCAGCTTCTCAGTCTTCACCTACTTTTGCCTTAAAATTTGAGATCGGGCAAAATTTTGTTATGAATCCTTCAATTTTGTCTCGAATTTGAAGCTGTTGGAAAGAGACCGACTTCCAAACTGAGCCCCAATTAAACAATCTTCCACAATTCTGCGCTCCCTCAAAAAGGTCAAATTGGCCTGAAAAAATGCTCAGTGGTTGCAATCTGCACTGAATCTTGTGAAACATTTTGAGATGTTTCGATGACATGATCAGGCGCAGTGTCGAATGCAAGGATTACCATTTATGAATACAATATGGTCTTCAGGGTAAGACTAAGTTGAATTTCTGGTCTCAGGAGAGCAGCAGCTAGCATATGGGAGCTTGATCATGTCTCTTTGCCAGAGAATAAGTCAACTGGCAGGTTGACCACGACTCCTTTTCCTGAGTGACCCACCAGCTCTTTACTTCCAGTGTTGGTGAATTCTTCGAGGTGGGGTGGGGTAGAGAGGGAGAGATACAAACTTGGTGGAGGATAAATTGCGCATCAACACCATGGGAAGGACAATGTCACTGCCACCAGCAGTAGCACCTTGTTAACTTGGTGTGATAGCAGTAACCGCCCAACATTGGGTAATTTACATGGTATTTACCCAGCTCAGACCACTGTTACCAGGGAAAATGAAGTCTGGCCTTCAACCTAGGCAAAGTGGTAAAGTGTGTGATAAAAATATCCCACAGCATTGTCTAACGTGATTACAAAACTCACATCTGTGACCTCCCCACACCCCCCTCAATTTTACAGACCGATTTTGAAAAGGACGTAGACATGGCATGTCGATCAGGTAAGCCAATGTTTAGTTTTACCTCCAAAATACATAGTCACTGCACTTTTACATATCATGTGAAACTCTGAGATGTCCTCACGACATGAAAGGCGATGTAACAAATGCAAAGATTATTATCGTTCACAGAATATACAGACAATTCACTTCACAGTATATTCAGTGAAGCACTTTGTGACGTCTCAAAGATGCAAGGATTATTATTACTATTTATTATAATGAGACAAAGGGCAGATTTCAAGATGATCAATTTATCACAATACACTACAAATTTACATTTGTATAGTGCAAGAACATAAGGACAGAACCAGAAAAGACTTGCAGTTGATCCAGCCAGTCCCAAATACAGTATGATACTCGGTCTTAAAAAGAACACAACGTGCAGCTTGTTATCTTGATAGTCCTGGAATGGAGGTGTGTAGATGTGGTAGATAGATGTGGAGCTCTGTAGCTCAGTGGTTAGAGCACTTGCTTTGCAAGCAAGAGACCTGGGTTCGATTCCCGGTAGGGTGAAACCTTGGGCAAGTTTCCTTACTCCACATGCCTGATAATAATTCCTCAAGAAAAAAAACAATAATAAATTGGCCACTTCAATCCACGACTGTTTGTGGGACACTACTATGCGCAATTGGCTGCCTCATTTTTCACCCTCAAATATACAGTCAATTCATTTTACAGTCTTCTGTGAAGTGCTTTGAGACGTCTAGAAGACGTTAAAAGTGCTATATCAAATGCAAGGATTATTATTATTGATAGCACTGTCTGGCAATTTTCCTGCTACATCTCCAGGAAGGATCACCCTACCCATTAGGGCTTTGCATTTAGGGTTAACAGGAGCTATTCCCTACACCCAGTAAGCTGGCTACCCTCCAAGTCCTGCTGATAAGCCACTCTGGCTTGTCCAACAAGTTGCTAGTTTTAAAAAAAAACTTGCTTCTCTGGCTGAACCTTTGTCGCAGGGGAGCAGTAGTTAGCACAGGGAAGCTTAGTTGTGTTTCTTTGCAAGGGGAAAGCCCCATGTCAGAACTTTGAACTAATATTGTCTAGGCTGACAGTGAAGTGCTGGGGGAGCGCTGCTTTGTCAGAGATGTCTTTCAGATCAGTCGTTAAAATCAAGGTGCAGTCTACCTTTTCACGGGCAACTTGAAGATCCCATGGCACTACACAAAAAGTGAAAGGGGTTTCTCCCAGTGTCCTGGCCAACAATCCCCCAGATAAGATTGGTCATTCACTTCATGACTATCTGTGGACATTGCTGTGTGCAAATGGCTGCTGTGTTCACCTACAAAACACCTGAGTTGTCTTTTTGCACAGCCTGGATCTGACACTACGGGCGCGGACGTGTGTACGTGTGGGCGCGGATTTACTGCACTGAAGCTGTGTGACAGCGTTGGAGTTTGAGAAGCATTACACCCCAATTCCTATCCCTCCCTCTCTCTCTCTCTCTCTCTCTCACACGCTCACACTCTCTCTCACACGCTCACACTCACACACACTCTATTTCTCACACGCAGCCTGTCACGTACACACACACGCACACCATCTCTCACGCTCTCGTCCTCTCTTTCTCACCCACTCGCTCTCATTGTGGAGTCCTGTAGCTCAGTGGTTAGAGCACTCGCTTTGCAAGTGAGAGACCTGAGTTCAATTCCAGGCAGAGGGCGAAACCTTGGGCAAGTTTCCTTACTCCACACAGAGCCTAATAATAATCCCTCCAAAACCGAAAAAAAACAATAATAAATTGGTCATTTTCAATCTACGACTGTTTGTGGGACATTGCTGTGCGCAATTGGCTGCCGCGTTCACCCACAAATATACAGTCAATTCACTTTACAGTGTGTTCTGTGAGGCGCTTTGGGACGTCCTCCCGACGTGAAAAGCGCTATATCAAATGCAAGGATTATTATTATTATTATTATTTGTGTCTCTCCATTTCCAGTTCTGAACAAGGACATCAACGCGGTGAGGACGGGGACCCTGACGGGAACCCTCAAGCGCTCGGGCGCCCAGGACAATGAGATGAAAGTCAAGTTCAACCTCGGGAAGAACTCGGGCTTCGCCACCCTGCCGGCCAATATGTCCAAGATGCACATGCAGGGATCGTCCAACTACTCGGGCTCCCTGAACAAGAACGAGTTTGGCGATCACAGCCTGAAGCTGGATAAGAGTGAGAAGACCAGGTCCATATATATCTGCGACGGGGACATTTTCAAGCAGTTGGACTCAGATTTAGTCCGGGCGCAGGAACAAGTCATGGACGCCAACTACGTCATCTTGCCCACCAACTCCTCGACCTTGAGGGCCAAACCAAAAGACGATAGCAAATATAACATTAGCATCAGCCAGCTGCCCCAGACCAGGCTCATTCATCTCAATGCAGACAGCGGATTCTGTGCGAAAAACTCGCCAATGGACCACATTAACATTGCCTGCAATGAGAGAGGCTCCCCCGCCCACCAGACCCAGAATATCGGGAGCGACTCTCAGCTTCCCAACAACCTGGGCGACACGGGTGATTCTGGGAACTCGGGAATGGTGTCCAAGAGCGAGACAGTTTCCACGCTATCCGCAAGCTCCTTGGAGGTAGGCAACTGAAAGGGTGGCCCTGCAGAAGGGGTTGGTGGGGCCATTGTTTTAGAGAAAAAGGAAAAGAGGTATAGATGGCAGGCAGGAGAATAGAATGTTGAGTTGAGAGGAGCGAGTTGGTTAATAGGAGACTTGTAGCCTCCCAGCCTTCCCCCCCGCCAACCTGCTGTAAATATCTGTGATTCTGCTTTAGAGGGAAGGAGTTGTAGCTGTTTGTATTTCTTAAGAAATCAGCTTTTAGCTTCCTCTTTCCCCCCACCCCCCATGCTGCTACTTGTTTGGTCACCCAAGTTTGTGGGAACCTATCACTCTGCTTGAAAGTATCCAAACCAGACCAGAGTTCCACATGTATATCCCACCTACACATGGTTCCACATATGTATAGAATTTTTCCTTTGTCTGGAATGCAGTATACACAAGGAAACTTGCCCTGCCGGGAATCAAACCCAGGTCTCTAGCTTGCGAGGCAAGTGCTCTAACTATTGAACGCAGGACTCCGATATCGTAAGGACTACTATACAGTATTACAGTAGTATAGTACTATTGCCTAGTGAAATCGGTCAATAAATTTATGCTTTTTAACCTTAAACTTACCATCACTGCTGTGCAAAGCAAGTAACAAAGCAGGTGGTACGTGCTGCAAGGGGTAGAGAGACAATGCCAAGAATGACCTGTGGCCCGTCTCTGCCAATACCTCTTCCCAAAAGCTGCTGAAAACCTGGTCTATGCCTTTGTCACCTCTCGGGTGGACTACTCTAATGCCCTCCTCACTGGATAAAACTCTGCGCCCACATTCTCACCTGCACGAAACTCCGCTCCCCAATCACCCCAGTCCTTGCCAGATTGCACTGGCTGCCTATCCCAGAGAGGATCAATTTCAAGATCCTCACCCTTGTATTCAAGTCCCTGCACTCCTCTGCAACCCCCTACCTCTCTGACCTCCTCTCTCCTCAAAACTGTACCCGTTGCCTTCGTTCCTCCGGGTCTGGCCTCCTCCTCGTCCCCCGAGTCCTCCGCTCCACCCTCGACAGCCGTGCCTTCAGCCACTCTGCCCCGAGGCTCTGGAATTGCCTTCCTCACTCCCTTTGCCTCGCTCCCTCCCTTCCCATTTTCAGGTCTCTGCTGAAGACCTTTCTTTTTGACCGAGCCTTTGGTGAACCTTCCTCCCCCTCCCCCTGGCTCGGTCCCGGGATCCGTTACTGTGAAGTGCTCTGAGAGGCCGTCCGGCGTGGAGGGCGCTATATAAATCAAAGTTGTTGTTGGAACGCTTCCTCCCCACCTCTCTCGTGCACACACACACACAAACTTGTTAGTTAAAGGGTAGAATCATCAGGAATAGATAACTGTCAAATTTTATTCTAACAGCGATAATAATCATTGCCTTTGATGTAACGCTTTACCACATTGTTAGAATGTTAGTTAAAGGGTAGAATCAACAGGAACAGCATTACCGTCCATGGATGCACTCTACACCTCACGGAGCCAATAAGGAACCTCAACGTCCTGTTCGGCCCTCAATTGTCCTTCAATCCCCAACATCCTTGCCTTTCCCCACCTCCGCAAGATTGCCTGGCTCCGCCAATGTCTCTCATCCCAGGCCGCCAATACCCTCTTCCACGCATTCATTACATCAAGGCTCAACTACGCAAACTCCCTGCTTGTCGGCTTCCCTAACTCCTACCTCCACAGGCTGCAGATCATCCAGAACTCTGCAGCCCGTGACCTCTCCTGCATCAGGCTCTGCAACCCTATCACTCCCACTGGCCCCCATCATTCAAAGGATACAGTTCAAGATCCTGGTCCTCACCTTCAAAGTCCTCCATGGCCTCGCTCCTCCCTACATCTGCGACTTCCTAACCCCCTACCAACCTGTCCACTCCCTCCGCTCAGCAGGTTCCGGTCTGCTTCATGTCCTCCTGATTGTCCAGAGCCTTGGGACGTCCGCCTGATGTGAAAGGCACTATGCAAATGTAATTTGTTGTTGTCAAATTTTATTCTAACAATAATAATAATCATTGCCTTTGATGTAGCGCTTTACCACATTGTTAGAATGTCTTAAAGCATCTTCAGGATTTTGCTGTACAGTGTAGTGATTATGTATTTGTCCAGTTCTGGTTGGGGAGGGGACCCCATAGAGGTGCATAAGATCCTAAAGGGGTTAGAAAAAGTTAATTGTTTTACTTTGGGGTTGACCAAAAGACTGTCAAATGATCTTTTCTGGATCTCTGCATTCCTATGTTTGCCACATAACCCCTACTTGCAATGCAATACACAATACAATCTACATTCATATTGTCAGGAGGATGTCTCAAAGCTTCCGTTCCTTGGCACAAGCGATAATTTTACATTGATCAGTAGAAGTACCCTATTGCTTCAGTCTAAAATCTTACCGTGGAGATGGCTGTACTTTCACATAGGCCAAGAGGGCACAGGTTCTGGGATAGAATGGCAGTTTCAGGGCATATAGTACCTGAAAGCGGATCAACAGCTGGGATAGATGTTACCAGGAAGGGATGGTTGAGGCTAAGATGCTGTGACTCGTTTTAAGAAATGGCTCATTACTGCGATGGTAAGGTGGGTAGTCTGGAAGAATGAGATCAATTAAGCGAAGTGTCTTCTTCACCCAAATCTTTGTTTTGTGATTTTATGTTCTTTTTAATGATCAAAGGAGGAATAATCCCCCAACAAGTGCACCTCTAGTAATTGTTATTTGCTTTCTCTTTGCAGAGAAGGAAATCTAGGTACGCTGAATTAGATTTCGAGGTGAGCCAATTCCCTTTGTCTCACACAGACAGTTAACATTCGTTGGCATAAACATATTAATGTATTTCTGCCTACCTCCCCTACTTTCACTTCAAAGTAACCCTTTCTCTTTTTCTCTCTCCTCCCCCTCTCCCAATGCCTCTGACCCGCACCACCCACACCTCCCCCCAATTTTCTGTCTTCCTTCCTCAGAAAATTATGCACACAAGAAAACGGCACCAGGACATGTTTCAGGATCTAAACAGGAAACTACAGCATGCCGAAAAAGTGAGAGAGTCTCCAACAGTAGAGAATAAAGTAAGTCCCCCATATCATAAGTTACAATTACCTGAGTTAACCTGAGCCAGCTCAGCTCCAAGGAGACCCCACTCTCCTCTCTCCTCCCACCCCAAGGTTGCCAGTATCCCAAATCTGTACCATGTTCAATTTTTCAGACTTAATGATGACGTTTTTAAGCCTGGTGGCATTTTGGAGCCTCTGGTTTGCTAATAGCCATCGTCTATTGGTTTGCTGTTTGATGCCTTCTGGCTCTTAATCGCTCAACCCTTCCCCACTTAGCTCCTTTGTAGCAGTTTGTCATCGTCATCAGAGGTGCACAGAGGTTTTAATTCTTAGAACCAACATCAACTTGCATTTATATAGCGCCCTTCACGTGGGGTGCATCTCGGAGCACTTGACATTGGCGGAGCTTGACGACAAGCTGGGGAGAAAGGGGAGGCGATTGTTGGCACAGTCGAAGAGAAAAGTCTTCAGGTGCGATCTGAAGGCAGACCAAGAAGAGGCAAGGCAGAGGTATCGAGTACTCATTCTCCATTCTCTTCCACACAATAGGTAGCGAAACGGTGGAGTGTTTCATCAGCTGGAAGTGATAAAACCAATCTCAGCGTAAGTATGGTCTGCACTACCCAAGCCTAACAACAACAACAAATTACATGTGTATAGTGCATTTCACATCGGGAGGATGTCCCAAGGTGCTTGACATTCAGGGATTCAAAGCTTTGCTGTACAGGGAGAGGTGGGGGTTGGGCGAGAGGGCAGCAATAGCATTTCACAGAAATGCAGCCCGTATCCTCTCCCACACTAGGCTCCTCAATCCTATCACCCCCACACTTGCTCAACTCCCCTGGCTTCCCATCACACAGAGGATATAGTTCAAGATCCTGGTCCTCACCTTCAAAGCCCTCCACGGTCAAGTGGTTCTAACCTTCAAAGCCCCCCCACCTTCAAAGCCCCCCCCTACCTCTGCGACCTCCTAAGCCCCTACCATCCTACTTGCTCCCTCCGCTCTGGGCTCCAGCCTGCTTCACATCCCCCGCCTCGCTCGCCCCGCTATTGGCGGGTGGGCCTTCGACCATTCTGCCCCCACCCTCTGGAACTCCATCCAGCAATCCCTCCACCTCGCCACCTCCCTTGCCACCATCAAGACCCATCTCAAGACCCTCCTCTTCGACTGTGCTTTTGATCTCCCTGCTTCCCTCACTGCCTTCCACCCTCCCTGACCCTGAGCTCGGGTCCATAACTCTGTCTTTCCAGTGCTTTGGGACGTCCTCCTGATGTGAAAGACGCTTTACAAATGTAATTTTGCTGTTGTTGTTGAATGTAATCCACTGTGCCAAGAGTTAAACACAAAGCGTCTGTGTGGAGATGGGTGTCTGATACACAGCTTGGCAGACAGATAATCCCTTCAGATAGCTTGCACAACAGTAAGTTCCCCTCCTTGCAACCCGAAAATCCCAGCTAGCCTTAGCCTTGTCGGACAGTTTAGCCTTCAATTTTTAAGATGGTGCAGAAAACTGGGGAAAATACTTAAATAAAAAAAATGAGAATCCTTATATTTTATATAGCGCCTTTCACATTGGAAGGTTGTCTCAAAGTACTTGACAATGCTGGCTGGGCACTCGGAAGCTGAAAGGCCCGAGGGTGTGAGCAGGGGAAGCGTGGTCTAAATATAAAAAGTGTGTGGAGGGCTGGGGGAGCTGGGTGAGGAGGGAAAGAACCGAAATTTGGGATTAAGAGTAGTTTTACAGACCCTCCGCTTTGCTGATTTAGCCCTCAACATGCAACCATCAGTGGCCAAGCCTTCAGTTTCTACACCTATCCTTTGTAACTCCCTACACCTCCACTTCGCCCACCCTTCCCCGCACACCACTATCTGTCTCTAAATCCCACCTTAAAACCTACCTCTTCGATCATGCTTGTGGTCACCCTCCCCCTTCTCCTTTGCTTGGGGTCTGACTCCACACTGATAAAGTGCTCCGAGATATTAGCCCACATGAACGGACTTATGTAAATGCAGGTCGTAGTTTGCTCCAGCATTATTTTTTGGCTGCGATCTCTGGGGGCAGGGGGAGAAGGGGTATCTGGACTTGGCTTTTACCCTAATGAGATATTTGCTCTTTATCTCTCTCTCTCTCACTTGATCCCTCTTCTCTCCCTCACTTGATCCATCTTCTCTCCCTCACTTGATCCCTCTTCTCTCCCTTGCTACCACACCACTCAGGAGAAGCAGACCCCAATCAAACGGCCTTGGGAGGGAATCCGAAAGATCCAGTCCCCTCCTGGGTGGGTTAAAAAGGAGCTGGACGGCACCCAGCAATCGCCTTTAGAAATGAAGACGGTGGAGTGGGAGAAAACGGGAGCCACCATCCCACTGGGTGGACAAGACAACACTGACCTTCAAACTGAGGTCTGACCCAACGAGGGAAAGAGAGGGGAAGAAAGAGAGACTTTTTTAAAAAAAAACAGATTGGTTTCGTTTGAAACCTTATTACAGTACCTGATATCTTGTTCTCAGAGAGAGATTGTTTTAATCTTTGTAATGCAGCCAGTGTCCCGTCTTTCATCGAAGGGGGTGGGGAGGGGGGAAATGACGGTGCTCATGAAATGTCAGTTAACTGTAGTCCAGAAACTTATCAAAAGACAGTCATGGGCAAATCTATGTGTATATATATAAATATATAAAACAGGTGGGGTGGGGGGAAAGGAAATTCAGTTTTAGTGTTGATCGCTTGATATCCAAGCATTTTTTGCATCAAAATTTAATGGCATATCTTGTCATATATTGTGTATTATATTAAAAAAGACAAATTGAGATTTCAAACAGTAAATACAATGAACATACTTAAAATAAACTGTGACGTTACCTATCCAATTTTAGATATATAAATCAAAAGCACAAAACCTTGGCTGCCCTGCTGTATAATATGTAATTATTACACCTTATTGACTTTTAGCTAAATATCTTTTTACTGTGTTTAATCTCCTGTTAAGTTAACAGACTTTAACAGTATTCTGTACAATGACAAAGTAAAGCTAATGTTATGCTATGTCCTTTAATAATCATTGAAGTTCGGAGATTCTACTTTTATGGTCGGTTAAACTGGTTCTGGTTTTCCTATATCCGTGTTTGTCAGTTTTATGTACAGTTTTCAGAGCACAAAAATGATTGTCTCCTTTCTAATAAAAGTGTAAACTATAAATAACGTAGTTGTACAATAATAATGCTCACATTTGATGTAATAATCCTTACATTTGATACAGTAATAATCTTTACATGTGATATAGCAGTTTATCAAATCATCCAAATATCTATCTCATAAGTGCTTTGCAGGATTTCTTTTTACTGCATAGTGTCTTGTAGTCAAACACAGCAGGAAACAATGCCTCTCAGACACTCATCAAGTGATCAATTTTATCGGGGTTGTTGGCCACGACACTAGGACAAAGTCTCTTCTCTTTTAGGATACTGCCACGGGATCTTTAACGTTCACCTGAACATGCAAGCAGGATGTCAGCATAATGTCATATATGTAAGACGGCTCCTCCGACAATCCCCAGCACTGCACTGAAGCGACATCCTAAGCTCCAACACAACATGGAGCTTGAACCCATAATCTTCTGACTCCGAGGCAGAAAGCTACAGATTGAGCCAGGCTGTGATGCATATAACGTTGTAATGCCTCACTTCACAGAGTTGCTGGCAAAAGTGTGGGCAAAAGTGTGGGCAAAGGTGGCAAACAATTTTAGTGACTGTATGATTTTGACCTTTCATATCAAGAGGACATCTGAAAGTGCTTCACAGGATTTACTATAGAGTGTAATGACTATATTTGTAGGTAGACATAGCAGCCCATGTACATACAGCAATGTCCACCAACAGCAATGAAGTGAATGACTAATCTATGTGGAGGATTTGAGAGGAAATCCCCTTTTAGAATAGTGGTGTGGGATCTTTGACATCATCTGAACAAGTAATCGGTTTAATATCTCATCTATAGGACAACACCTCCAGGAATTCAGCATTCTCTTCATTGCACTGGAACATCAGTCTGTGAGCTCAAAGTCCTGTGGTGGGGCTTGGACCTACAATCTTCCAACCAAGAGGCAAGAGTGATACAAACTGAACCAGGCTAATCGTATATTGTCAAAGTTCGAACCATTAAGTAATCAAATTTTTGTTTTATTCTTGGTTCCATGCTCTCAGGCAATTTGTGTCATCTTCTAAGATGTACAATTTGTACTGCCTCAACATTTCTTTGGGGAATTGTGAATGTTGTTTTGAATTTTTTTTGTCAGCATATTGCGTGACAAATATGACACTTATCCTCCCAAATGAGCTGGTTTGCTTTGCGCAAGGTGCTTCACCGCTGTAAAAAATGTCTCCTCATATGACACAGTTTGATATTGACGAGGATTCAGCGAATTTCATAGAATCGTAGAAATTTACAACGCAGAAGGAACAACCCTTCGAGTCAACACCAACTCTCAGCAAGCTATCCATTCAGTCCCATTTCCCTGCCATGTCCCCAAACCCCTTAAAGCCTTAAATTTTGAGACGAAAATCATTGCACGAGCTAAGGCCACATGGAATTTCAGGCTTTAGATGAGAAAACAGAATTCCAATGAGCACTTCCCACACCTTTTGCAAATATCTCAAATTAGGGCCCAATGTCATTATTTTACCCCTTACAGGAGTCCTGTAGATCAGTGGTTAGAGCACTCACCTTGCAAGCAAGATACCTGGGTTCAATTCCAAATAGGGTGAAACCTTGGGTAAGTTTCCTTACTCCACACGCCTAATAATAATCCCTCCAAAACAAAAAAAATAATAAATTGGTCATTTTCAATCCACGACTGTTTGTGGGACACTGCTGTGTGCAATTGCTGCCACATTTCTCCCACAAATATACAGTCAATTTACTTTACAGTCTATTCTGTGAAGCGCTTTGAGACGTTGCGAAGACGTGAAAAGCGCTGTATCAAATGCAAGGATTATTATTTTCAACGGTTAGTTTGCCGATACCAGCACTTAACAAAAAGAAAACTTGCTTTTGATAAACACTCCCATCAAAAGGTTTCAAGGCATTTCACACGATGAGGTACTTTGAAGTTCAGTGATAGTTCACAAGATCTCTTTCAGATCACGCACCTACCTTACTTCCATCCTCCCATACTCCCATTACTATATAATATACAGTCAATTCACTTTACAGTCTAATCTGTGAAGCACTTTGAGACGTCTGGAAGACATGAAAAGCGCTATATCAAATGCAAGGATTATTATTATTACAGCACTGAGTTGTTTCTTAAATGAGTCCCAGTGTCCTGGAATAAGAACATAACAACAACTTGTATTTATATAGTGCCCTTCACGTGGGGTAGCGTCCTAGAACGCGTGAGACTTGAGAACATAAGAATTTGCTTGGTGAAAGAAGACCAAGGTCCATCAGTTCACCATCCTGGCAGTTGCATGACATGTGTCCCAAACTTTTTATTGCCTCCCAAGATATTATTTCCTCACAGAAATCTAATCTGTTCTTGAAAGATTCAACACTTTCTATTTCCACCATCTCCCTGGGAGCCTGTTCCATACATTCACAATACACTCACTTGCTCACTGTAATAATAAGCACTTGAGAGATAAAAAGTATTTCAAGGGATATGGGGAAAGAGCTGAAACATTGGATTAATTAAATAAAGGGCAATTTAGAATAAACAGGCAGCAACCACGATGAGCCAAATGGCCTCCTCCTGTGCTGAAAATGTCAATGTTAATTTCAGCCCTCACCAAAAAAGAAGTGTTTAAAGCCAGTTACCAATGTAACATTTTTCATTTCCCTTGCTCTTTCCTTCAGGTCATTTTGAACATAGTTGTCTATATAGTTGTCGTGGAGTCCTGTAGCTCAGTGGTTGAGCACTCGCTTTGCAAGCGAGAGACCTGAGTTCAATTCCAGGCAGGGCGAAACCTTGGGCAAGTTTCCTTACTCCGCACAGAGCCTAATAATAATCCCTCCAAAACAAAAAACAATAATAAATTGGTCATTTTCAACCCATGACTGTTTGTGGGACATTGCTGTGCGCAATTGGCTGCCGCGTTCGCCCACAAATATACAGTCAATTCACTTTACAGTGTGTTCTGTGAAGCACTTTGGGACGTCCTCCTGACGTGAAAAGCGCTATATCAAATGCAAGGATTATTATTATTATTATATTAGTGCTACCACGGATACTCTCACCAGCCAAGCGACTGGTTTGTTCTTCCTAAGTAGCTGACGAGAGAGATTTCATTGGTTGTTTCCAGACAGAATTCAGTGCCCCAAAGCACAGTATTTTTTGAATTAAGATGGAGCTCAGTTCAAACCCACAGTCCAGCTACCTCCATGTTGATTATATTGGTCTGAACAGGATGCAAACTGGCTTTATCCCACTCTCTGGAACTCTCTTAAATCTCTTCTTAAATCTCTCTCTCTGCTTTCAAAACCTCTCAATAAAAGTTTCCTGCGTGTTGACTCCCCACTCCCACTCCATGACCTATGGCTGTTCGTGGGACATTGCTGTGTGCAAATTGGCTGCCATTGTTCACTCCCAAAATATACTGTCACTCCACTTTACAGTAAGTCCTGTGAAGCGCTTTGAAATGTCCAACCAACATGAAAATGGTGCAATACTAAATTTAAGAATTATTATTGTAACGTCCACCTGAACAGACAGATTCAGAATAACATTTCAGCCAAAGGACAGCATCTCCCAATAACGCATTCCTCCCCCCAATACCTCAGCCGAGTATCAGCCTAGACCAAATTAGTTCAAAGTCCCAATGTGGAGCTTGAAGTACAACCTTCTGACTCAGAGGTAGGATAGAGTGCTACTGACCGAACCAGGCTGACACACAGCTAAGACAATTCAGGTTTTTCCAGTTTCTTAAAATTCATTTGCTTTACTGCCTCCGTCGTCTCCATTGCCGCTGATCTTCCTTGTTTCTTTGTGTTGTTCTCCTGCCCACACAGAACGCAGACGGTATCTTTCGCAGACAGTATGCTCGGTGTTGAGAGAACATGTTAGCACCTATTCTCGCATTGCATCAGACCTGGCAGCTGATGCAATGAGTCAGCCAGCTGAGGTGGGAGAGGGAGCGAGCTGCATATTTAACGCCTCCCATTGGAGATCTTCACTGTCTCCACCAGAACACATCCCATCTGAACACACTGTGTGGTCCAGACATCTCCCAGGGTCAAGCCAAATCCCCACATGATAAGCATCTCTTTCTCTTTCCTCGAGCTGTGAACAATGCTAAAGAACAGAGAGCCTCATTAGTATGTGGACTGACTCCCAGCACGCATGAATTACCTGTCAAGATTTTCCCTTTGTGTAAAGATCCTTGCGTGGGAATCGGGTGATGGGGAGGGCAGCCGTCACTGTATGGGGGTGGTTCCTGGGCAGACTTGATAATTTTCAAGAGTCTTGCACAGCTCACTAGGAATAACGCTAGCAAAGTAATCCTCTCTGTTAAGGTGGCGACTTTCACAACGGCCACTCCATACATTGGAGTTGTGCATCCAGCTATTAGGTTGCTGGTTAGCTGGAACCTGTAGGTAGTTTTAGTTTGCTAGTTTATTTTGCTAGATCTGGTTAGCTATTGTGGTTGGGTAGTTTCAGTCACTAGTCTTGGTTGCTTAATTTATTTTGCTAACTCTGGTGATCTAGTTTATTTTGTTAACTGGTTGACCCTCCTCTTCGACTGTGTTTTTGATCTCCCTGCTTCCCCCACTGCCCTCCTCCACCCCAACCCTCAGCTCGAGTCCGTAACTCTGCTTGTCCAGAGCCTTGGGACGTCCTCCCGACGTGAAAGGCGCTATATAAATGTAATTTTGTTGCTGTTAATAATAATAATAATCCTTGCATTTGATATAGTGCTTTTCACCTCTTCTAGACATCTCAAAGCGCTTCACAGAATGTGCTGTAAAGTGAATTGACTGTATATTTGTGGGCGAACGCGGCAGCTAATTGCACACAGCAGTGTCCCACAAACAGTCGTGGATTGAAAATGACCAATTAATTATT